TACCAGACCTTGAGAATACAGACTTCTACTTTTTCCCCAGAAATAGGTTATCTTTTTTCGGAAAAAGAATTCAATACCCGAGAAGCAATACAAAATTCCTTTGAACAATTTTTTGCCTCCCGTCCAGCTGATTTCTTTAAGAAGCGCATCAATAAACCACCACTGTCCTGGCAAAGATAGAGATATAGAAAAGAAGTAACGTTAACTAATTTCTTAAAAAACGTTAATTCCAGAGGCAAAGACCTAATATCACGTTATATATTTGATGGCTTTAATTTTTATAACGAAAGTTATATTTAATGTAGCTTTAAATGATACGATTTTTAAACTTCGAACACAAACTTCAAGCTTTACGTATGTAGTGTGTACGTGACTGTTAAACGACCCTAATTAGATGGAGTTCCTAAAGCTGGAATCCTCCTTAACGATATCCTTAACTCTATTACGTTAATATTTAGGGAATAATTAGTGATAATTAGTGTCTTACGAAAAGAATTAGTGGCTTAAGACTTTAGAAGATATAGCCCTTCTTTGGAAGGATTCTAGATTGAATTCAAGATAGCAGCCTCCCCTCTAAAACACACAAAGATTGATGTAAAGTAGTAGCATTAAATTGCTTATGTTAAATTAATAAAAGGTCAAATAAAATAATTACGCGCACAGTTCACTTGATGGTAAATGGATGCTGTGGCCCATAGACATGTAGATGTCTATGGGCCACAGCATCCATTTATATATATATTTATGTATATATATATATATATATATATATATATATATATATATATATATATATATATATATATATATATATATAGCATTTTTTTCCTTATAAAAGTTATTTACTAAATATTTTATAGAACAGTTGTTCATTAGAATTATGCAAATTCACAGTTGACTTTTGGACGCAGTTGGCTAACTATTAAAATTACTTACCTTTTTTTAATAATTAAAACTAAATAACACCATTTATGTGATAAAAGTGAATTAAGCTTCTATTTTTTTCTTAAGTCTTTAATTGTCACCAATTCCTCACAAAATCGTGACATAATAGAATTTAGGGGGTATGTTCCAAAATATAACCTAGTGTATTGTCCAATTCAAATGACATCATAAATCGATGCCATACTGGTGATTCGTTTCAAAACATTTGACAATATATGACATCATACATTTGCGTCATATTGGAAAAGTGTTGGCAATTATATTGTCATTTTGTGCTCAAAACGTCATTATATCCTCATAATGGAGATACCAGCAATTATTCTATAATTTTTTTGTATATGAATAAATAAATAAAAACAAATTCTGGCTGCTTCATCCAGCGTACACACAATATATAGTCGGATGTCCGACACAATACGGCGGCGGCACGCCAGTACAATATGGCGTCAATTAATGACGTCATTTGTGTTTGGCAGTATACTGGAAACGTTTCGGAATATACCCAGGATATTATTGGGGTGGATCCTAACTTGAAGGACGCATTAGTTTGTGTGTAAACAACCTGATGAAACAAAGCAAGTTGATGTATGCAGGAGGTGTAAGACCATATTTTGTTGCAATCTATGGGGGATGCTTATGATCTGCAGTGTACTTGTGATGTTGATGATGAATAACGTTTTTGGCGCAGACCCGCTCTCATTTCTAAGGCCACACCTCTGCCCCAATGAATGCTAGCGGAATTCATAGTCTTTTACTTTACCATCGAGAATATGGTAAATCAGCACATTAAATTGCAATTAACCACATCAGTGGTTCAGATACAGATTAAAATAACTCTGTTTACTCGCGTGCCAACTATAAAATGAGAGTGAACGCTTATCCCCTGACTTAGCAGGGGTCTTTAAAACGGAGCTTTAATATAAATTGATTTCGTATTTATTACTCTGTCACGGAAGTACCGGAAAAAGATCGATAATACAAAATGCTAGCTAGTTATTCACCTAATTTTATTTTATCACCTTCAAATTATGTTAATTCAGAAACGATAAACTTTCGCCAATTAATAATCTAATCATCAAAACATTTTTAAACGCTTTTTCCGGAATTGAATTTAGTTCTCCATGCGAATTCCCCTTTATGTTTTCTACTGAATGAAAACGGATGCCACGAAGTAGTAATTTGAGTTGAGGGAAAATAAAGAAGACGGCTGGAGCCATACGTGATGAATAAGGTGGTTGTTCGATGGTATTTATTGAGTTTTTATCAAAAATTTGTTTTCAGTAATGGCCTTCTTCGAAGGTGTATTATCGTGGTGCAAAGTCCAAGAATTTTCTTTCCGCAAATCTGGACTCTATCGTCTATTTTGCTCTCTTAAACGGCGCATAACGCTGAAACAATATTTTTTATTTACCGTTTGACCTCCCGGCAATAATTCCGAGTACACAATACCGCGATAGTCAAAGAAAACAGTCAACATGACTGACTTTTGATCGACTTTGGAGTGGTTTTTTATGGTTTCGGTTCAGTTGAAAGGCGCGACTCCGAAGCTTGTTGACTATTTTGCATGTAAAACTCGTAAACCCACGTCTCTACACCAGTATCAATGCATTTCATGAATGTTGAGACGGAATTGACTCGTTCTAGCATGTCCTCAGCGACTTTAATGCGATTGAGTTTTTGTAGAAAATTCGGGTCATTTGAGACAAGCCGAGCGGCAACATGTTTCATACGCAAGTGGTTATTTAAAATTGTTTTTTTTTTAATAGGATAGGGTGACAAACGAGCACACAGTCCACCTGATGGTAAATGGTTGATGTAACCCATAGACATCTACATCTATCCTCGATTACGAATCGAAATGCAGATGCGTTGTCATCCGTGAGGACTAAGATGGAATGCCTCGTTTCCAGTAAAAAGGGTCTCCGGTTCTCTACACTCACCACACGAAATACAGCAGCAATTAGCTACTATTTCACGCTGATATTCTGTGAGAGCGTGTTCCTTCCCCGGTCGAGCCGACCCATTCGTGCTACAACTATACTTCTAATATAACTGAAAATTGTACGGATCGACTCTTAAGACACAAAAAGTTTGGCAGCTACCTCTCTCAAACTTTAATGAGGATTTTCAGTCACTATTTCCTTCACTTTTGCGATGTCAACTTCAGATGCAGACGTTGGTGGCCTACCAGAGCGAGGCAAATCTTCCATCACATGTTTATTATTTTTGAACGCTTTGTACCACTCATAAGCACGTATTTTTAATAAAGTCGATTACGACTCCGAACATGAAATTCCATTGGCGATGCAAAATTGAAGACAAACTCTTTGTTCGATGTTTTTGTCCATTGTGAAATTCACAATACACACTAGATATTGACATAACTAAAAACAGCACTGTATTTAATCTAAGTAACAGATGTATCTCAAGCTCCACGCCTAAATGGAAAACTGTTGTGCCAACCTAGCAACAACAAAAAAAAAGTTGAATTTGGAACCATAAACGAATCATCCATTCCCGATACTTTTTGACTGAATGTATTTTAATATTTTTGTTCTTAATGCTGCGGTTTTGTATGGTGAGTGTAGAGAACCGGAGATCCTTTTTATAGGAAACGAGGTGGACGGAGGATCTTGTAAGTGATAACGCATGTGCATTTTGATTCTTAATTGAGGATAAATGTAGATGTGTATGAGCCACAGCATCCACTTTCCATCACGTGAACTGTGCGCTCCAAATTGATTTCGTATTTATTTTGCCATGTACTGTTTTACGTTTTTTAATTTTATTTTACATTAACCGATATATTAAACATAATGTATAGTTAATGACCGAGATAAAAATTAGTATGGGAATTTTTTTACGACTTCAATAATTGTCAATGATTCTGGTGACGTTTTATATGCAACCACCGTAACAATAATAAGTCATTTCGATAAAATAAAATCTGCAAAAATTGGTCGCTTTACCTCGATAATTACCTATTGGATTAGACTCAAGAATATTCTAAATACGGTTTAATTGATAATTTTGTTCGTTTTTGTCGCTTAATAACAAAATAGATCTTTATTTAACATTCGGTCAAGGCCTTGGAACAAATATTTGATTTTTATACACATCCTGCAACGTTTTAAAACAAACAAAACTTAACGGCTTGGACACACTCAATCTTCGAATAATAAAATTAAAGACTAGGCGTGACGGTGTTTCGTATCAGCGTTAGTGCGGGATCTGAGTGTTACGCAGTAACAATACTTTTAAGAAGACATGGGATTATTTAATATGTTATGTACTGTTTATTGTACTTTTGTATTTTTAAAATCATACTTTTAAAGTTAATAATATACGATAGTCGCTTCTTTTAATACGAATTAAATATGAGAACAATCTATAATACAATAATAATAATATTTTATATTAAATTAAAAAAGAAAGCAAATTACCAAACACATTTTATTGGTGAAAATAATTTATTTCATGGTTTAAACTACGAAGAGTTTTTTATCCTCCTTTTTTAATCTAAATAGTGAATGTGGAATTTATTAAAAAAGAATTAAATTTTGAAACTAAAATGTACTATATTTTATGACGATGATACAAACGAATTTATTATAGTTTTGGCCAAGACTTAATAACCGCAAAGAGAAATAAATATCTTTAAAATTATGTTAGATCTCAGCTTTAGACTTCAAATTGAAATATATTAGTGTCAGGATTTCTTCTGGTGGAATTTTGGAATAATAATGAGTACAGTATATTTCTATGATACATAATCTTTAATATGCATTTTTCAGTAGAGATCACGTTAAATTATACTAAATTTCATAGAATGGTTGTGTGTTCACCACTCTTCCTAAACATTGAATTAAAATAATCTTTTTCATCAAGGTTTGCATAGAAGAGATCGCTGTTTAGCGATAAGGCTACCTAGTATATTTAGTTTGTAATTTACTTATCGGTGTCTCTATGTAAGTTAAATAAATGAAATAAAAAATAATTTAACAACGTTACATTTAAGTATTTAATCGTTTTTTGTAACAAAATTATTCACTTACTACTCTCGGGCATCTGGTATCGTACAGTCGATCATACAAATATTCCTTGGACTCGTGGTTTTTCAGAACTTTTGGGCGTGTCACTTGATGAAGCATCTTTTTATCCAGCTTCGTTATTTCAATTTTAGAGCCTCCGGCGCCAAGCTCTATAATTTTTTCCTTTCCACTATTCAGTTTTATGTCAAAAATTCTGCTATTTACAACAAGCTCTGTACGGCTTAGGCTATAAGAATTACTTGCAACAAGTTGATTTATAAAACTATCACTAGAACTGTTTAGAATATTGTTCGCGTTTTGAATTAGATCGGGAGCCATTTTAAATTTATTGAAATTTTCATTACGGTGCTTAAATAGGAAGAGAGGCGCAAGCACAATCTCAGACGCACTATTCACAAGAATGAACTGCCGGTGTATTTATAACAGTTTTATCATGTGTCAACACCAGCAATATTTTAAGTGTTAGTAAATATAAATTCATGCGAGTAACTTTGTGTATTATTTTGAAAGAGTAGAACTTGATGTAGCAGAATAAGTCACAAATAATGACAAATATTAAACGCTTAATTTATGTAGAGTAAAAGCAAGGAGTACTAACTCCCATAGTAGAATAGTTGAAAAAGTGGTCATCTTTAAGCAGTAAATAACAGTTCAAAAACTCTCCACAACAGCGCTGGAGTAGCTACAAACTTAGCAGTTTTGACGGTTTAAGTGTGCTGCTAAACTGCTCAGTAGCTCTAAAATCTAAAATAATTTTATTTAGCAAATATAACCTCGAAAAAGTCGTCTATCCCACCAATATTTTTCGGTGCCTTCTTTAAAATTTACCCCGTAGTTATAATGGCGCCACCCATAATTAATGGTTTTTACGGACACTTTTTAAAACACAGTCTGTACTCCTCACTTCTACACTCTATAGTTTAATTGCCTAACTACGTCATAAGGTGTAGACTTCTTTTTATAGGATAAGGGTGACAAACGAACACACAGTCCACCTGATGGTAAGTGGTTGCTGTGACCCATAGACATCTACATTTTACCTCTATTAAGAATCAAAATGCAGATGCTTTATCACTACTGAGGACTAAGAATGAATGAAGAATGCCTCGATTTCAGTAAAACGAGTCTCCGATTCCCTACACGCACCATACGAAACGCAGCATCATTAAGCTGCTATTTTACGATGGTATTCTGTGAGAGCGTGGTCCTTCCCCGGTCGAGCCGACCCATTCATGCTACAACCATAATATAGCTGCAGCGTACGACGCTCTACGACGTATACGACAGACGGTTACTATGTACAAAACAACACGTAAAACATTTTTATATAATTTGAAAACAACTTGTTTTATTTTCTTGTAAATACCTAAGAAGTGGCAATAAGCAAAAAAGGCGAAATTTAATTTTAACATCTTTGGTAATATGATTAAAACTACTTTTACGGATTTTATCGCGTTTATTTTTACTTTTTATTTTTAATTCCCGACGTTTCGGGCGCTTTTCAGCACCCATGGTCACGGGGGACTGAGATGACTGACGTCCCGATGTCATTGTTAAACCCGGAGTACCTTCAGCTTTTTTAATTATTGTTTATGGTCCGATCTATGCAAAATGAACTGACTATGTCCTGAGGTCTTGCAGTGGTATGCTTGAGTTTAGTTTTAATTTTATTGATTATGGGATCCCAAGCAGGTGGTAGTACCCAGCCTCCTTCTCTATTGAAATTAGGATGTTTTTTAATTTCAATAGCCTCACGTATCATCCTTGGTAGGAATCGGTGTTCTTTCGCGAGGATTTGTGGTCTATCAAATCTGATGTAATGGTTGGGGCCGTCTAGGATATGATCACAAACTGCAGACTTCCCGGAACGTTGATGCTTCACATCAGCTATATGTTCTTTTACGCGGGTCCTAATTGATCTTTTGGTTTGTCCTATATAAGAGAGACCACATTCACAATCAAGCTTGTACACTCCTGCATCTTGTAGAGGAATATGACACTTGACGGATGGTAGGAACTGACTAATCTTCTTCGGCGGCTTGTAGAATGTTCTAATAGAAGCTCGCTTCAAGATATAGCCAATCTTGTCTGTGACACCTCTGACATATGGTAGTACAGCAGGCACACGCTCGACTGTGGCCGGCTTCACTCGGTCACTGTGACGTAGGCGCGGGACCCGAAGCTTGTTGTCGTGCAGAACTTGCTTGACGTGCTGAAGCTCGGAGGCCAGGTGTTTGCTGTCACAGATCCCTCGTGCTCTCTGTAACAAAGATTTGCCCACGGTAGCTAACTGTGAAGGATGGTGGTGAGATTCACCGTTTAAATATCGGTTTGTATGGGTCTTTTTCCTATACACAGTGTGACCAATGGTGTTATTAGGATTTCGGATGACTAACACATCTAGGAAAGGTAAGGAATTATTTGCCTCTAACTCCATAGTAAATTGAATTTTAGCGTTTATGGAATTAAGATGTTCTAAAAATGCAGTTACTTTGTTTGATGGTAAAATTGTGAAAGTATCGAAAGTATGATTGTGAATGTGGTCTCTCTTATATAGGACAAACCAAAAGATCAATTAGGACCCGCGTAAAAGAACATGTAGCTGATGTGAAGCATCAACGTTCCGGGAAGTCTGCAGTTTGTGATCATATCCTAGACGGCCCCACCCATTACATCAGATTTGATAGACCACAAATCCTCGCGAAAGAACACCGATTCCCACCAAGGATGATAGGTGAGGCTATTGAAATTAAAAAACATCCTAATTTCAATAGAGAAGGAGGCTGGGTACTACCACCTGCTTGGGATCCTATAATCAATAAAATTAAAACTAAACCCAAGCATACCACTGCAAGACCTCAGGACATAGTCAGTTCATTTTGCATAGATCGGACCATAAACAATAATTAAAAAAGCTGAAGGTACTCCGGGTTTAACAATGACATCGGGACGTCAGTCATCTCAGTCCCCCGTGACCATGGGTGCTGGAAAGCGCCCGAAACGTCGGGAATTAAAAATAAAAAGTAAAAATAAACGCGATAAAATCCGTAAAAGTAGTTTTAATCATGTGCAATGTTCGCGTAAATATAAGAAATCATTATCTTTGGTAACAATTATTGTTTATTTTCATACACTATTAAAAAAACAAAACATTATTAAAAAAAAGTCCTTTAATAATTTTTTTAAGATTTGAAAAACTAGGAGATGGGCAACTAGAAACTGCGCTTGACAATCCGCCGTCAAGCGTGGAAGCTATGTCACTTATCGCCTTATGTGACAATCTATAGGGCAGCCTACGTTCAGTAGTGGACTGTAACTTGATGAAGATTTAAAAAAATCTCCCCCCCCCCCCCCACTGCACTTATTATAGAGAAAGTACATAAAAATATATTTTTATTCTTTAATTTTTTAATGTTATAGTATCGTTATCTTAAGTTTTGTGTGACATTATGAGTGACAGATATAACAAAATGTAAGGCTTTTTTGTATGATAGCGCAATATTACCACCTCTACCAAATACCATCACGATAGTCGTAAATACTAAATCATATGCCATTGTCGCCATATTTGTATAACATGACGTGATTTTTTAAACTATTATTTGATAGTTATTAATTTGTTAAGATTACATGAAATTCTTCTCAAATTGTTCATCAATTTGTTGTATAAGAGTTTAAAAAAAGTAGATTGTCGAGTGGTAGTGACATTAGTCACATCTTTCACCACATTACATATATTATCCCTTTGGGTATCATGAATCTCGTGAGTTCAGATAACTTTCGACCATCCTATTACATAAACATGAAATACACAGACCCAAGCATGACGATTAAAGTAAATCCTCCTTACAATATAAGATACCCATGTCTAGTACTGAATTTTCACGTACTGATGATGAAGAAGAAGAATTACTTGATGGTCTTGATGGATGATGGATGGTTTACTTGATGGATAATTGCTCACAAGTCTCAATTCCATTCTTAGTCAAAATAGTAGTTTCATATGTGCAAAACCCAAATTGTTGGTTTTGGGGGCAGCGTAAGGAAACCCGAATAAAATATATCGATGACTTTTGAAGTTCACCAACTTACACAGGAATACCGCGGCGGACTAATGGGTTATTCCTTCGTATGTATCTAAAATAGTGGGGGGGAGGGAGATTTTTTAAATCTTCATCAAGTTACAGTCCACTACTGGACGTAGGCTTCCCTATAGATTGTCACATAAGGCAGTAACTGACATAGCTGCGACGCTTGGCGCTTGGCAAGCGCAGTTTCTAGTGGTTGCCCATCTTCTAGTTTTTAAATCATAAAAATTATTATAAGACTTTTTTTTTCAATAATGTTTTGATTTTTAAATATTTTAAATATTATTTAAAGAAAATGAATTATATTAAAAATATAATATATTTATTTTAGAACTTCATGCCCATTTTTATAGTTAATTCCAGAACTCGTGGCTTGTATAAAGGTTTTGTTGATATGCCAGCGAGCTGGTCTTTAGCACATGTTTTCAGCACCTCTTAATTTCTTTGCTCAACATATTCTCTTATAAAGAAGTGCCGTATACGAATATGTTTCGTTCGATGGTGCATTTCAAATGGTGGAGTATAGGCACATTTTCTGCTGTATGATTATCCAGATTTTGCGACACAACTCCTAGCGCAAATGCCATATCAGGTCAAGTTCCAGTCATCAGATAGGATAAGGAACCCACGGTTTGACAATAAGGAAATGATACTTTTAAATTTGTTTCATTGTTGAAATTTTTGTCATTGTCAATATCCTTCGTTATCGGTGTAGCATCTGGTTTGCGTTTCTGCATACCAAACCGATTAAGTATCCTTTTAGTAAATTCCTTGTGTTTAATTTTTATAGATCCATCTATTTTTATAGTAACCTCAATTTCGAGAAAATACGATGCAGTTTTGAACGTGATTTTGAAATTTTTGCTCATTTCATCCACAAAACTGTCTATGTCATTTAAATTTGTTGCTGCTACTAATCCATCATCGACATAGAGAGCTATGACAGTTTTAATACCTTCTCGCTTCCTTATGAACAAATAAGGGTCAGATTCACTTTGTTTAAAACCAATTTGTAATATATATTGTGTAATACAATGCTTTCAACAGCGTGGCGTCTGTTTTAAGCCATAAAGACTCTTTTTTAATTTATAAACCATTTTGGACTTTCCTGCAAGTTTCGTTGGCTCTGTTCGATTTAATATGTAATCAGCCCATAGTCTTTTGATATTTCTTCAAGAGCATACATCATCAAAGGTGCAGCCTCTATAATTGTCCTGTTATACTTTTCGT